AAAAGGACATCAACCTCATCGACCAGCAAGATCTTGGGCCGTGAGGCTTTGGGCTTCTTGCGCTTAGACAGGGTGTTGTCGGCAATCAAACGCTGAACGGCTGTACGCATGCATCCCCGCGCATTCAGCTCCCTTTCAGCCAAGGCCTGCATGGTGCTGTATCGAATGTTGCCATGTACCCCCATGGTCTTGAAAAATGCCTCAAAATCCTTGTAGTCGCGCGAACTCAGGATGTCACTGTAGCACGCACATGATACATCGAAGCCCAACAACGCATAGAGCACGCAAGCAAAGCCCAAAATGATGCTCTTGCCACCGCCAGTTTGCACCTGCACAAAAGCTCCACCAAGCTTGTTTTCCTGGCCGCCCACAAAGGCCTTGATCCACGTGCCGAAACGAGTTAGGGAATCATCGCCGGCACCAAACCCCAAAAGCTCGAGCAGAGCCAAAACTTGCACGACATGAAGCTCCTTGTAAATGCCGTGGTGTGTTCGTGTGGTTTCGGCCAGTTCTGCTAGGCTGGTCAGGCTCCAGATAGCCGACAACAGTGCTAACAGACCGGGCAGTTGTTGTGACATTTTGGAAGGTGTCTGAGCCAGTTTGCGGCAATTGGCTTGCACTTGGGCCACCAGACGTGGTACTTGATTGGGGTTCTTCATGTGACTTTCAAACTCGGAGCGATACGCGCCATAAGCATCGCGTAGACGATTTGCATGAGCAGGCGAAACTTTTGCGGAATTTTCTGGCTTGGTCATCTCCTTCAGAGCCTGGTCAATGCCCATGCCAAGCGTTGCCTCCTGACGCTGTTTGATGCGTGCGGCTTCGAATTGTGGGTGGCCTGCTTTGACCTCTTCTCCATACCTGCCATGTTCTCTCCTAGACAGAAGCTGTCCAAGGCAAAGATCATTGTCACGCTCCTTTCGGCGATTGCCACCGGCCGACTGACGAAGCTCGTGCAGTCGCTTGGTTGTGAGGAGCTTGACTTGATGCTTGATGTGACCAGAGATGCTATTCGAGGCCAGCTCTTGCATGCTGACGAGACACGTTGCCAGCTGCTCTAAATCGTCGACAAATGGTTCGGTTCGCTTGTCGAGCTCAGCCTTCAATGCCTCTTCCTGCATGGTGCCGATGCGCGATGCATCTGAAAACGATGTCAGGTCTGCGGCCAGATCAAACGAGAAGCGCATTTCCTTGTTCAAAGGTCCCCATTTCTTCTCGGCCACGTGACTGGGTACTCGATCGGCGGCAGCTGCGGCAAACTGCATCAAGCTAGTCTCGACATTTTCTTGTGCTTGCTTGAGATCTGCCTCAAGCCAGGGCTGCGGGTCCAAAGCAAGTTTGGTAAGAACACGATGCAACGCGCCAATTGTTTTTGTTGGCCCAGGCGCATGGAGATGACTCTGAACGGCCGCTACCACTTGCTGGCACAGGTCGCTCCAGTGTCGCTGAATCTTTTGCAAAGTGTCGTGAGGGTTGCACATGCGACTGTTCTGAACCACGATGGCAGGAGCTTGTTCTTCGTACATTTTCGCCGCCCGCTGCAGCACCTGCAGTCTTTCCCACAGGGTTTTGGCCTGAAAGCTTGGCTGAGTCAAGTCTGTAAGACTGAGTTGATCCACCCGGTCACTGCCATATTGAAAGGTGGTTGATTTGACTGATTTTTCTGATAGAACCTGAGCGAGCAGAGGCTCAAGGGGGACAGATGCCGCTGGACTCAGTGCTTTGAAGCGGTCAAAGCTGGTCTGAATAGTCTCGCATGCTGCTTCAGCTTCCAAAATGCGCCAATTGACGAAGGAGTCGAAGCACTGCTTCAAATCTGCATGAAGCTGCGAGGCAATGGCGC